AAAGTCGCTTCTCGGAAGAAAAGTGCAGATACCGGTTCTGCTAGTCGGTATAAATGCGTGCCGAAAAAGTATCCCGGAAAATTAAAGTAAGTGCATGATAATTACTAGAATAATATGTAGGACTTGCAAAATGAGTTTCAAGTCCAAATAATGAGAACTGGTGCTGGAAACCGGTACTGGCTTTGAAAAGCGCGTACCGGAAAGTTGCTCAGAAAAATATAAGAAAAATATGTTAATTCTTAGAAAATTATGTACTTTCATAATCCAAAGTTTGGGATTAAAATGCTAAGCGTAGCAATTAAAGTTAATATTGTGTGCTTAAGTGAGTTTTAGCTATAAATACACTTACTAAGGGCACATTGCCCTAGATACCAGAAAACCAGCGTGAGTTCTCCTTGGTGGCTGACCTCCTATACTGTTCCATTGCCATTTGCTCCATTTTGAGACTTTGTGATCATTTTATACTTGTTTCTCCTTAAAACCTTCTTCCTAAACACTTGTTCTTATTTGAGTGAGCCTTGGGAGGTTGGAAGACACCATTTTTCTGAGTGATCAGCCACTGTTCTTGTTTGTTTGGGGGCTTACCTTGGTGGTTGGGTTGAAAGAAGCATTGTCTTGGGTTTTTGGTGGTCCAAGTGTTGATCTTTGGTGCTAAAGGGTCAACCTTTCTTACCATTTTCGTGCATCCTCTTGTGACAGTAGCTTGAGACTGATTGTGAGCTCCAAAGGGCAACCTTTCCTTCTGTTTTGAGCTAGGGTATGTGTATCAACCTTTAACTTGAGTTTTAAGGCTTAAAAATGGAAGCTTGATGCATGTTATGAATAAAAGATGATAACTTGTTGTTGGGTAATGTTGAACATGCCTAGAAATGCATGATTAGGTGCTTAAAATCGGTAAAAAGGAACCTTTTTGGGATATCTTCACAAAAATGCAGAAACTGCATTCTGTCGTGAAATATCTGGATATCTGCCCGTGGAATATCCGGATATTGGATATCCGGATATGACATCCGGATATGTGTATTCGGATATGGGGTTTTGGGATATCTGGATATTGCATATCCAGATATGGACAGTGAGATATCCGGATATTGCATATCCGGATATGGTCCCGAGGAGTATCCGAATATTCTGGATTTCGCAGAACAGTAGCTGTGTTGTGCATACAGTAGGCTATTGGGGGTTTATAGACCCTAGATTGATGAAGTTGAACTTCTGTTTTTAATGGATTAAGCCAGAATCATGGGATTAAAGGCTTGTGGCTTTGTTAGAAGCTTTAAGACTTGAAAACGTAATGAGAAGACGTTGTCTTTAATTGTATGCATGTGGTATATGTTTATTGATTTATATTTGGTCCATATCAGATTGTGATCCGCTGTGATTGGACTTTGAGCTTGTGGCATTGGATAGCTAGCTTAGAGGTAAGCTTTCGTGTCCTCGGTTTAGCCATGTTGTGGTTCCACCATGTCCCATGGGGATATGGTATATGCATGTTGTGTTACATGCTTTTGATGTTTTGGAAATGTTGTTGAGCTATTGTATGTTAGTGCCCTGTTGATATGCATGGAGGTGTTCCACCTATACGGTAAGCCTGAGTATGTAGAACATACAATAGGGTGAGGTGCAAGCGGTGTTCCTTGTACTACATGTAGGGAATAGACGTATTCCTACATTTCTCTGGCCAGTAGATAGTGATTACACACATGCCATAGATATCTGTTGCACTATATAGTTTTGGAACTGATAATGATATAAATGCTTTTTGAACTTATATTGCACATGTAAGTGAGCTTGGGGTGGAAGATCCTTGAGGACCCCTTGTCTTACTGAGATTTCTAGTTTAGAGATCTCACCCCACGTCTGGGGAATGCTTATTTCAGGGTCAGGTAATGTTGAGACCTCAGGCGGCAGGAGGCCGGAGCTGAGTTAGATTGCTGTTATATTATGCTGCCTTGATTGGATGCTGGATTTGCATGCTGCTTTTATGCTTATAGCTCCAGTTTATGTTTTGGTGTTTTATGTTGAGACTTGTTGATTACTATGTTTATTTGGTGAGCATGGGGATTGTCCATGACACATAGTATTATTATGTCTTGGTTATGTCTTGAGTCTTTTGGAATTGTAATAATGTATCAGGATATTGTCCGGATTACTTGATGTAATGCCGTGATTTAGATACACACTTTATCTATATATTGAGGTATTTCAGTAGATGTCTTATTGCAATTTTACATACAGGTGATATTTTATGAAATTGATTAAGTAATCAAGTTGGTAATTGATAATGACGTCATAATTGAAAAGAAAAAGAATATTTCGCATTTTTAATTAAGCACCACTTAATACGATGTAATATTAATATTCCGGGTATACACGGGGTTTTACACTGGTCAACAAAATCAAACCACTTCTGGGGAGCATTATATCCCCAAATCAAACTAGTTTTGTTCCAAAGAGACACATACAGGACAACATCATAATTGCTCAGGAACTTATCCATTCTACGCACAGGATGAAAGGCAGGAAAAGTTATTTCTCTATCAAAATAGATTTGGAGAAAGCTTATGACAAGCTCAACTGGAAGTTCATAAGAGCAGTCCTAGAATATCTGAATTTTCCAGAAGACTTAATTGGTGCTATCATGGGTTGTGTTACCAGCCCTTACCTTGAGGTTTTGTGGAATGGAGCTAGAACTCACGGTTTTCAGCCTCAGAGGGGAATAAGACAAGGGGATCCCCTATCCCCTTATCTTTTTATTTTATGCATGGAGAAACTCACCCATTTAATCATGGATGAAGTGGAAAAGAAGAATTGGAACCCAATCAAAGCTGGCAAAACTGGTCCTACTATATCTCACCTTTTGTTTGCAGATGATATCATCCTCTTTGCTGAAGCTTCCCTTAGTCAACTGAATAGCATCATCAATTGCTTGAAGATGTTTTCTAGCATATCAGGGCAGTGTGTGAGTATAGAGAAATCTTGCATTTTCCTCTCTAAAAATACTACTCAGGAAGCTGCGGATGAAATTTCTAAGGCTAGTGGTTTTAAAAAGGTGAATAACTTCGGTCGGTACCTGAGAGTTCTGATGAGACATGGAAGAATAGGAAAGGATCACTATTCTGAGGTGAATAATAGAGTTCAAAATAGACTTCAAGACTGGAAGTCTAAGTCCCTATATTTGGCAGGCATAATCACTTTAGCTAAAAGTGTAATCTCTGTCATTCCTTGTTTTCAGATGTAGAATAACATCCTGCCAGTGCATGTTTGTTAGGATATTGAAAAGTTGCAACGAAATTTTATTTGGGGAGATTTAGAGTCTAAAAGGAGAGCTCATTATGTAGCCTGTGATCAGTTATGCTGTCCAAAGGAGTGTGGAGGCCTTGGAATTATTAACTTGAGGATTCAGAATGAAGCTTTCATGCAGAAATTAGCTTGACAGTTAGTCAAGGATCAAGATAGTCTATGGGCCAGGTGTTGTTTGGCAAGTATGGTAGAAAGCAGAATTATAAACGTAATCTGATTGCTAGAATAAGTGACTCTACTCTTTGGAAGAATATTTGCACTGCCAGAGAGAAGATTGCTCATCATCTAGAGTGGGAGATTGGCAACGGTAAGGATATTTTTTTCTGGACAGATGCTTGGCGAGTTGGGCAAAATAATCTTTTTGAGATGGCCTCACCCAAACCTCCCAACTCTGATCTAGATCTTAAAGTATATGATCTTGTTGATTTGAGTACAGGGGAGTGGAATTGAAGCTATCTGACGAATTTTCTTGAGCCATCTATTTTAAATAAGATTAAAAGATTTCCTCCTTCTAATTCCAGCAAACCTGATGACGGGCTAAATTGGAAGAATAGAAGTCGTGGTTCATCTCTTGTGAAGAATGCATACTGTCAGATGATGAATGTTGGCAAAGGCAAAGATGAATTGGATCTTGTCTGTGAAGAGTAAAGACACCGGTGAGCTTTGGTTTGGTGCATTCGATGGTCTTCATTTTTTATTCTTCGAGTTGCTTTACTCTTTTGTCCTCACTTTACCTTTTGTCTTCCAATTCTGCCCTCCAATGCAGCTGCTAGTCTGCTACCATGGGTCTTTAGAATAATAAAACAAACACTTGTAAGCATCAACAGCCCAATAGAAATTTAGACCAAAACTAAATAGTAAATACAATTGGGTCATTGTTAGCTGAAACCAAGTTTTTATTCAAAGATTTATAAATTCATATATTTTTATGTACGTGTAACAAATAAAATTATTGAAATATTAATCCTATGATGATAAATATCAATTATTTTTCAGGAACCATTTTGCAATTATCAATTCTTACTTATTCAAGAGGTTATTAGTAAACAATCTCTACCATTGACATCATTTTTATAAAATCGAACGGCTAAACAGCCACGGTCCAATGGTGCACCTTTTCTAACGTGATCCACCGTAGACAAAAATGGCTCCTCAAGTCACGTGGACTCCTGAACTTTTGGTTGCAAATTTTATTCTCAGCTTTTTATTGTTACTTCGCAAAATTTGTTAATTTACTTTTTAGGTCATCAACTTTGAGGATAAGATTTTTTTTCAAAGGATGAAGCATCGAACCTCATGGAATTAGACATTTTATCCGAATAAACATAGAACCTTGAGACCAATTATTCAAATAAATGGGATAAATTAATGAGCTCGAATATTAATGAAGTTATAAATGAATTATCTATTGAAACAATATAATTAACCAGTACAAGTGCCCAGAGAAATGAGGCATGTCTTTTTTTAACAAGTAGACGTACCCCATGGAATTAGGCATGCCTTCTTATTCAGTAGTCGATAAGGATCAAAGTTCAATAGGTAGGATGGTATTGTCCTCAGTTCTCAGTAAGATGAAGTTTCATGCATAATCTGTAACAGTTTTGACCTGATGTTTTAACCATAAAAAAATGAGATGACATGACCAAAGATAATGTTCTCCAATATTTTGCAAGAAAACAAATTGAATAATATGGGGATCAAAGACTACCATCAAGCATTCCGAAATAAATAAACTTTGATAAATGCACACTAGTGTTAGAATAGTGCATAAAACATTACATTCCAAGCTCATTTCCCGCAGCAAAATTGTGTCAAAGCTGAAGGGGAAATGGTTCTACAATAACAAACTAGAGTAAATGCATTCGTTCCACATAAGAGTGGAGCAACCATTGATTAAGAGGCTCCCCACATCCGACAAAACACCCGGAATTGCCATTTTCAGTGAAAAATGGGAAACTGAATATATGCAGCAGTTCATGCACTGCCTGTCTCACAAGGGAAGAACCTGTCACCCTGCTCCTACGACCCCATCCAGTGACAATATCTATCCGGCTAGGGCCAACCCCAGATATCAGCATCTGTCTGCGAAACCAAGCAAGTGTTCGTGACAATGCTGTTACAGCAGTTCCATCAGACATGACATGAAGATTTATAAGCCAATAACAAGAGCTTTTCTCCTTGACAGCATCTGGATACACATTCCTTTGTGCAGCCACCTCCCAAACTGAACCAGCCTCCTCCTTGAGCCCAGATTTGTGAAGAAAATCCACAACTGCATCTACAAGACCTCGTTTCCCCTCTCTATCCTCGGAATGCATCAGATCCAAGAATTTGCTTACATGATCCCGCACATTTTGACCATCGGGTCCGGCTGCTGGCATGGACAGTAAAAATGCATGCGCAGGATGGCCAGTAACTGCCATAAGCTCACAACAAAAACCCATATCATATGGTGATTGTGCCTCTGTACAACAACTGAGAAGCAAAGTATAGGTCTGCAAAGAAGGACTTAGGCCAAGAGCCACCATGCTATGGAGAAGATTATATGCATCTGGTAACCTATACATCCTGAGGAATGCGCTGAGAAGGGAATTGCATGTTGGTACATTTGGAAGCAAACCTGCACTAAGCATCGCCTGATACCATCCCCAAGCCTTCTCAACATTACCAGCCTTTCCCCACAGGTCTACCAGAAGACCATAAACAGGTTCATCCGGAACCCAATTTTTCCGTTTCATCTCAACAAAAACTGCTTCTGCTTCCTCAAGATACCCACAGTGGCCAAGCACCTCCATTACAATGCTATAAGTAACTTTGTCAGGTTTAAATCCTGCATTCTGCATGTCACGATATAGATTCAATGCTGTCTGATAGTTTCTTGCTTTAGCTTGCAAAGCAATCATGATATTGTAGGTGACAATATTAGGAACACAACCCTGATCAACCATCTCACAAAATAGCCTATGGGCAGCAGCTAAATTACCAGATTTTCCAAGGCAGTTGATTATAACACTGTAAGTAAAGGTGTCAGGAGAAAGGCCAACTTTTTGCATTCTTTCATACATAGACATTGCCACATCAAGAAATCCAGATTTTGCATGGATATCAATCAGCGTGCAGTAAGTGACACGATCAGGTTCGCATCCCACCTTCTGCATTTGATTGAACACATTCAGCGCTTCCTTTAGGTAGTTTGCACGGCCATAGCTGTGAATTAGACGATTGTAAGTTACAACATTAGGCTGACATCCATCCTTAACCATCTGCTCTAACAATTCATTTATTGCACTAAACTTTCTCGCCCGGCCCAGTATACCAACCATGGTTGTGTAAGTATGTTCATCATGCCGGAAACCCCGTTGTTGCTTTAACCAGTAAAAGAAACTTAGTGCAACTGAATGGTCTTGAAGTTGCTTTATGATTTGGTTTGCTTGATATGCATCTATTGAAAAGTTCAGGTTATAAAGAGCCTTCTCCGTGGCAGGACCCCACTTTAACTGTTGCAGAATATCTTTAACCACTTCCACAACACGCCCATTGTTTGCATAGTGCCTGTTTGTTGGAGCAATTCCAGCTGGCAATTTCAGATCCCTGGGCTGTTTATTGAAACTTTCCTTGAATGACCCCAACATCTGTGGATTTGAAGTTTGTGTGTTGGAACCAAAATTTGTCACATAGCCGTTTGAATGAGTTTTTGTTCTTGGTGGCAAGGCTTTGCGGTCATGATTATTTAAAGGAATATTAGGAGCCACCCCTGACTTCTCTGTCCCTGAAGAAGCAACATGCTTAAAGCCTTTACCTATATTTGATTTATCACCTTTTCCCTTTGCACCATGATAATTACTTGAATGGTTCGACGGCCCTGGATGAGTAGAAACAGCTGGTTTGGGATGAATACTGGTAAAGTCCTCCTTTTTAATTTGTTTCACATTGGAAGATCTGATATTGGGTAGGGTTCTGGCGGGATCAACCATGCAATTATTAGAGTAGCTCAGTATTCCCATCCCATCTGATACAGGAAGCTTATAATTAACTAAATCAGAAAGAAAATTGACAGCTGCAAAACCGGCCCTATAAAACTGGTCAGCATTAATAGGAGATGAGTGTGAAACATGGTTCTGAGCACCATCAACAACACAGGCATATGTTACAGAGTCTGGTTTACTTGATGGAAATGAAGTAGACCTAACTTCTTGTACATGACCAGATTGATTAGCACCCTCAGCCTTGTGGGAAACCGGCCCATTTGCTGAGTTTCCTGCAACCAAGGTTCCTTCTACTCGAGATGTAGTTTTGGATACTAAGGAGGATGGCTTCTGCACAAGTAAAACTTCATTTCTTTTCTGCTGTCTTTTTGACAGACACGTTTCATCCTCAGTGCAAGTGCATGAGTTGCCATCTGCCGCATTACATCTTGAACCACTAAGAAAAAAACTCCTAGCACTGCTTGAAAGGGTACCGATCTGCTTTGCTCGTAACATATTCTGCAAATAAAGTTGAATAGCTCATAATCAAGAAACTCTAACCCGAAAAATGAAAGAGGCAAATTTTCCATGAACTTTCTGTGCATGACAAGATCATCATGTCTGCAAACAAAACAACATACCAACCACAGCTATATGAAATTGCAAGAACCAGCCCAACTAAAAATCTCGAAGCTAATATTTTTATGACATTATATCATATGCTACAAAGTCGAATTTGGATAAAAGAGCAGTGCCAAGAACCAAAGCACCAACACTACTGACCTGGCAGAAGAGCAAAGACAAAATTCTAAGAACGCGTACATTATACTCATCAACAAAGCCTTATATCAAATGAGCTAGCTACCTTTGGATATAGAAAATTTCAACAAAAAAGAAGAAAATGTTGCTGCAATCCCATTTCATCCCGAAAAGACCATAACCGGTAGCACTTCTCTTCCTGTCCTATACAACTCCAAAAAGAGCCGCAATATTAGGAACAGGACAACCAAAATAATTGAAAAAAAAAAAAGAAGGCAATAAGACCAACTCAAATGATTCAAAATTGAAAAAAAAAAAAACACTCAGCAAACCGAATATTATTGCATTGCTAGCAAAAACAATCAGCAATTCTCCAAATAACAAAGAAACTGGGAATAGGAATATACGTCAAAAGTAAATAAATTTCCAAAACCCTTTAATCTATTAATAACTTTGATGGACATAATTATCTTCTCTAGGCCACCAAACAAGAGAGGGAATACCGTAATGGTACGAACTATTGAGACTGATACTTTGACTGCACAGTAAATTCATGATTGACCCATGAAACCAATGTAGCTGGAACATGAATATGAATCAAGAAAGGTACCTGCATCGTTCAGTAGTTTTGTGGAACCATAGAAGGGTTGATAACCTGAGAGAGAAAGAGAGGTGGCGGCTGCTTTCTGTGTGGCGTCAAACTGTAGAGTTTTCCAAGCGAATTGGGAGAGAAGCTATATATGAGGTTAGCCCTTTTCTCTCCGATTATATTAATTTTTATTTTAAAAATATTTATAAAACACGTTTTATGCCTTGTGGCTTACGCGTCGTGATTATTAGAAAGTTCCGGTGTTATTTAGTTTTTTTTTTTATATATATAAATCGCGTATCCTCCGAACTGCCAAGTAATTCAGTTGGGGCGGGTCCATTATTAAATTTAGTCGGGATCCAGAGCTGTTTTTTTTTTTTTTAATAATTATTTAGTAAAAAAAATTGATAATTAATTCTGATTATCTCTGTGAGACGAATCGAATCCCGTATATTCACACATTCAAGTTTTGTTAGAGTCAGATTTAGAATTAAGGTTTTATGTTGATCTTCAATATTACATGATGGATGAATATTATTTCTTTATTTCTTTATTAAACAAAGCATAAGCGGACCTTTTTTTTAGGGCAAACGGTGGCAGTTGCCCCAACCCAACCTCATTTTTAACTTTATTTTATTAGAAGAATAAAAGCATGTGCCTTCATAAATATTTGTCCTTTGAAATATAATAGAATTGGTACATTATATGTTATTAATGCCATTCTATTAAATCAATTCATATGGGTAAGATGCTCTAACCGTTGATTTTTGAATATCTAACAGTTATAATTTATTAAAAATTAATAATTAGTTAATGAGAATAATCTAATTAATTACAATTTTAAATATAAGATTTATAATTCATACACTGACATAAATTATAATTCATACACTGACATAAATTAATTGTGTCCATATATATATGGGGTTTGATTTTCGGAACAGTGATCAAAATGCTATCTTTTGGCAAAAAATTTACTCAAATGTCACGCAAACAATACTTTTCACCAGACTGCCACATAAGCATAATTCGCTATGACTGGTAGCATATTATGTTCGCCAATAATTTTATGACATGTGACACACTTTCGCAGGAAAAAGCTGACATGTCATAATTCGTTACCACTAGTAGCGAATTTGGTCTACAATATGACCATGTGTCATGAAATCATTGGCCACGAAATTCGCTACCACTGGTAGCGAATTATGACACGTGGCAGTCTGGTAAAAAATATTGTTCACGTGATATTTGGATAAAAAATTTGATAAAACGTGGCATTTTGGTCACAAATCCTTGATTTTCTCATGTTGCATGAGAATTGAATTCTCATGTTGAGACTCAGTTAGTGGTAGGCCCCATATTTATTAAAAAAAAGAAAAAGAAAATTGTATGCAAATCAAAAGGTCACAACATAAGAATTGAATTCTCATGATATTTTTCACACACATATATATAATATAAGATAAATCGAATGTCATTCGTACATACATAATTGAGAGGAGAGAGAAAATCCAGGGGGTGGATCTCACCCTCAATTGTGGTGTAGAAATTTCTTTTTTACATCATACAGAGTGATTATATGAAATAATAGAAAATATCTTTAATATTCCTATAATATTGAAGACTGAATATAATTTTTATTAAAATTTGAAAAAAATATTATAATTAATTTTATCTATTTTATTTATCATTTTTATAATTATTGTCATCTAACTCTCATATTTTTTTATTTTTAATAAAAGAGTACCTACCTACTCTACTATCAAAGATATCGTGGAAATAAGAATGGTACGGATGCCAATTCAAGACTAGTTTTTGCACCGTTCAAGTTAGGCTACTAGGTTAGATTTGAGTCAAGTGTAATTATAATTTGAACTTGCAAATTGTTAATACAGCTTGATCCGTTACGCACGGTAGCCGGCAGGTTATTTGGACTTATATATTGCCTTATGTCTCATTTATTTTTTCTGTTATTCATGCAATTATAATTCAAATAGATTAATATTTGTTTTAAATGACATTTAGTAATTTTGAAAAAGATATATTCAATAATTATAACAGTTGATTTTGACATTTTTTAGATTTGTGCTTGCGTAATGTCAGGGTAAATTAAGTTAGGCCAATTAGATTAAAACTCATTCGAGTTTTAATTTTATTAATTTCATTCATTCAACTCACACATTTTGATGAATTATTTTGGTAGATCCATCTAATTTGACCCATTTTCACATTTATAAATGGATTCAATATTTTTTATATCGTAAGAAATAAAATTATCTCCTATACACATAAAAATATATGTAGTCATTATAGGGTTATATAAATCTCCTATAATATGAGAGACATTAAATCTTTTAAAAATTTGCTAAAATGAAATACTTATTACCATTCGATTCTTTGTGACTTCTAAAATGATATCACTTTCCAAATTCCGATCTTATTCTTTAATACATTAAGTCAGGGAATGGTATTGATAAATACCCCTTATAAAAAAACAATTCAAGTTTACATTTTTTCATAAATAAACTTTAAATTTTATTATTTTAATAATTTGAAAATAAAAGATGACGTCATAATTATTAAAATTTACATTTTTTTGGATAAGACATTTCGTATTATTTTGTAATATTCTAGATAACAATTGTGTTCCATCACACGTTATACTTAAAAATTGTGAAATTTTCATATTTATTATTTGGGAAAAATGTTTCCGCAATTAATGCAGATAAGTTATCTGCATTTATTCCCAAAACGACGTCGTTTTGGTATTGAAATCTTAAAAAATTATAAATATAAAAACTATTATAACCCTAAGATAAATTAAAATTACAAAAACACCATGATTTTCGTCCCAAAACGATGTCGTATTGACTTACTGCATATAACTTATCTGCAGTAACTACAGAAAAAGCGAACCCTTATTATTTTCTTTCAAATTTTACATGATTTCCTAAAATTAATTATAAGATATGAATGATAAGTTATGACATGTCAAAAATAAGAAATGTTCCATGTAATAAAGGATAATAATTGTCATTATACAAAATTAAAAAATGGGGGTGTCTGGCGATTTTAAAAAAATAATTTAAAACAGTATAACATGAAACCATTTATACGAGTTCATATAAAAATAAATTGATTAAAAAATGATTCTAATATTGAATTTTGTACATAATGTGATTATTTAAATAGCAAAAGTCGATATGTTTGTTAGTTCTCGAATGGTTGCATGCAATGGTAGACTTAGAAAATTTTATTTATGTCTGCACACTTAGAATAAAAGAATAAAGAATTTTTTTAAATATATTAAAATACAAAAGAATATAAACAGAAGAAGAAAAGAAAATTTAACTTAACATAAAAAAAAAGTAATCAAGAGTCAACTAAACTTCTACAATAGAAAATTTTGGGTCTTTACCAACAATTATGGATCCCAATTTAATTCTTAGAAAAAAAAAGTCGACTCGTTGTCCCTCAGAATTCAAAAATAGTCCTAGATAATTAAAATCGTGGTCCTCTGAAATTAAAAAAGATTCACAATAGTCCTCCAAAGAACTAACATGGATTTATTTTAGAATTTAGAGGGACCACGAGATAACTTTTTTTCGAGGGATTAAATTAGGTTCCATAATTTTGACGACTCGAAATATATTTTACTTTTTTTTTGTCCCAAAAAATTTGTGGGTACACGTACACACATATATACAGGTACGCCATTGGTTGCATCCTGCTTACAATATTATCTTGTTCAACAACCACTTTCAACCTAGTTAAAGGTAACAGAAATGTGGAATAAAAACGAATAAGAGAGTTTGAAAGATTTTAATCAGAAATAAAATCTTCGAGGTATCCAATTTAAGAATCGAAAATATTTTCAACGGTACATCATTTATTAAATATAACCAAAAATAATATATTTACATTATTTTCACTTATGTCTCATTTTTATTTTTTTTGTCTATACCGAAAATGAATTCCACCAAATTATGATAGGGGTGAGAATAATACGGGAACTAAGAGATAAGAATAAGATGTGAGAATGAGAACATGTATTCTGTCTTATCCTGTACTATTTTTAAAAGGTATTTAAATTTAAAGCCTTAATTCTGAACATGAACCAAACTCCGGATTAGTCTATAAAAAATCTAGAAATCACCCAGAAATAATCTTAAAAAAAAAAAGTGCTCCTAACAAGTAACAACCATAGCCAGACCAGAGTCATCTAAAAATAGCCCCACTAACTAACAAAGTTCAGTATAGTTGGTAAACAGCTGGATTCTTTAAGCATGCTGACAGGGCTTCGATCTCTGACCGTGCGTATGAAAAATGTTTTGTTAGGAGAAGTGTACCCATTCAATGTGATCTCCCGTATCGAAAAAATTAGTCTTCAACTATCGACGGAAGGATACGTTCGAAAGCAAAAAATAGCCCCAACCCAAATCTCGCCGATAATGCATAGTTTCAAAACTTGACTAGACTGATACTCAAATCAGGAACATGTTCCCCACCGAAGGGATTTTTGGCAAATTTAGTGTCATGATCAGAACCGCAACAAAACGGCGAAAAGTATTAACCAAAATTTATTATAAATTTTAAAACAACATGACTCTTTTATAATAGTGCAACCTTATTCGTTAATTTCAACGAGAAGTATATGAGTTTTATTAATCTCATTTAAAGGAGATAAATTATCTCATATCATAGAGATAAATTTATGGACTTCATCACCTGAAAAAAAATAACAAAATTATCGAAAGATATTTAGAAGGAAAAAATTATTTAGCGTGAGAATAGTTTTTTCCTAAGTATATTGACTATAAAATTTTGATACAAGCAGTCTTAATATAATAATTTCTTTTGAGAAAAATATTATTTACTTTTAAGAAAATAAAAATATTTTACAAAAAAGTAGCATGATTAGGAGATAAATTTATGTACACAAAAATATAGAAATTTAATCTTACATCACCCTAGTACCTGACTTTTTTCATTTTCATTTTTTTGGTAAATACCCTTACACCCGACTTTAAACAATAACCACAAGTCAATTCTACAAATGTATTATCTCTTTTAAGCAAGAAACTAATTTACCAAAAAAAATTGGGGAG